GCCAAGGAAATTTCTTAAATATCTAATATGGAAAGTTTTATAGAAATACGTCTTGATCTATTTTGGCTTAGCGATAGCCAATGAAATGATAGCGATAGCGTTCCACGACACCACGAGTCCCCAGTCCTTGCTTGTTACACCCTCGCGCCTCGCCTCTACCCGTATCGTTGCGTGTCGCGTCCAGCTCGCGTCGGCCTCTGCTCTCAAACTAATAAGTGTAAGTCTATCCCTTTCGGATACTTATCGCTCGGTTGGTTTCTGGCCGATCCGAATGATGTGCTCACCTCAGCTGATCTGGTTGAAAAATCAATTCCTCCAACAGTTGTTGGCATCTCGAGCATTTGCAACGGTGTATTATGGCTCACGCTTTCGGAGCTATACGATGTGGATACATCCCGCTTAACTACAAATTACAGTATTCTAAACTAGGTGCCCCAACAACATGTGTGCGAGTGTCGCACCTCTCCCGGGCCAATCGCAGACACTTTGTGAGGTGCAAGGCCTCGAAACCGTCCGCAACGCGTCCTCGAAAAGAGGACGACCCGCTACATCTGAAAGAGGATGACTCGCTTCTACAGGCAGTCACCAAAAGTCTGAGCAGAGTATCTGCAGTCCTCGGCCTCGGAACGTTGTTTCTGGTGAGCTTTTCGCACTTTAACAAAAACCCCGGCCCAGCTCATAAGTCAAATAAGCTGGGAAATCACTTAGTGGGTAGCAATTTCAGGTGGACAATGTTGCACCCTCACTCGCCGATACCGCCAAGTCTTCTCAGGTAGAGATCTTCCTTACGCACACCTATTTCTAAGAGAGACCGACAGCACACGAGCAAGCCGGTCATTAGCCTGACTAAATCTTGCTCGTCACCACTGCTGTAACTTGTATAAGATAGTATTCGTGCTTAGGCAGTTTACTGTCCCCGTATGAAGGCAGCTCACTAAGGCGCTACGCGATGGGCAATATTTCGACTGCCTAGGTTTTCCGTTTCGCATTCCCAACCTGTTCCAAACTCCTGTTGCTGCTTACCGCCCGTAATTTGAGACTGCGAATTCTCTTTCAGGACGTATCCTATGAAGTCGGGCTGGATAGCGCTGCTATAGAGTCCATGCAAGACGTCCTGGATGATGACCTTCAGCAACTGGAGGCGGCACTCATTCAGGTGGGCTGAAGCCAAGCTTCCTTAGAGTGAGTCGCGAAAGGCTTTCCCTATTCATGTCAGCACGGATCAGCGATTTCACTAGTCAGTACCCGCGTCGTGTTTGCAGCTAACTGCTACTCGCGTGGCGTGTTTGCGTCGTGTTTGCAGAATGACGCTGAGCTCGCAAGAGACTTGGAGGCTGTTCTTACGGCACTGGAAGAAGTTAAACGGACTGCCGCTAATGCGCCTGGGTCCGACGACACAATCATTAATTTTGAAAACAAGGTGTGGGACACTTGAACGCCGTCCTCTCCGGCTTACTTTTTGTCTCCCCCTCCCTTACTTCTAACCCCACCACGTCCTTTGCAGCTCACCCCAGTAGTGCTGCTTGAAGGAGGAATTTGCGCACATGCTCGTACCGCCTCAGAGTTTCCAATAGAGCTTGAATTTCTTCCGTGCCGAGTGAGGAGATTAAGAGACAGTGCCAAATGAAGGCACCTGACTTTTATATCTCTTTACTCATATAGCGAGATATACAAGACGGCAAAGGGTCTGCGCGAGTTCGCCAAAACTTTTATCGAGACACACCACAGTGAACTAGGATAATTTTCCACAGCACTCGCAAGCAATGTTTTCAGATCTTCGAACGACGGATATGTGTACGATGGGTGACGCGGTCTCGACAGGTTGTGCGGTGCCTCTAATGTTTAGGCAACTCGTGCGGTTTTTCATTTCTTCTCACTACAAAGTCTGTCGGGGTCCATTATCCATGCGGCTTCAAGCTATTGGGAACGCACACATATTAGATATTAGGTATAAAAGGTACTTCTGCACTAATGCTAAGAACTGAAATAGCAAGTAAGTTTCAAATAGGCATTCTTATGTGGACTCCATACGATAGCTCTTAGAATAACCACGTTCATTTTTTTGTTGTTGAAATATTCTGGTTCAATGTCGATAGCGAAGTGCAAGGAGCACGATGAGTTGATTTAGATGTGTCTTATGCGAAAGGAGCTTCGCTTGCACTTGACTTGTAAAATTTCCTTGACTTTGCTTGCAGCTGACTCAAGAAAATCTGGACGACTTCGGACGGTCACTGGGGCTGCTCGCCTCCTTCGGCTTCCTTGGGAGTGCCTACGCACAATGGTCTGCGCTCTACCAGCCTAAAACCAGAGTCGAGGTAAGCTATATTGCAGTAACCCCTGTCCCTATGCCTGTTCGCTTTTTCCCCTGTTTAGCATATCATCCCTGTCCCTGGGCATCCTCTATCCCCTATCCCCGTGCCTTTTGGGAATCCTTTCCCTGTGCAACATTAACTCTTTTCCTGGTGCAACCTGAACCCTTAACCCCGTGCAGGCTGTAACCCCCATGCAACGTGTAAAACTTGTCCCAACGCAACCTGTAAGCCCTGTCCTGGTGCACGCTGTGATATTTTAATCGGCGACCGTTGTCCTTGTGTGACCGTTAGCCTCTGTACGCTCACAACCTGTGATGCTTGTCTCCATGTAACCTGAAACAACGCACCCAGTGCACCCTATGACCCTTGTCTCTGCTTAACCCGTGGCCCGTTTTGTGTGCAGTCAGTAACTTCTGCTCGTGTGCAACTTGTAACGCTTCTTCCTGCGCAGCCTGTCAACCTCGGTGTAAATTATGGCCATCTGAGGAGCCCCAGTAGGGACGGGTGCCACAGCCTCCTGAACCCCAGCCCAAGACAGGAGGGAAAACGCCAGAAGACATTCGGTAAGATGCTCCAAGTTTCATATTGTCTTTCCCTACACTGGTTTCAAGCAAATGCTTAACGAGGATCCGTGGCAGTTGTGCAGCACACGCCTCAGTTTTCAATCATATGATAGTAGGCTGTGTTAAGCATGTATGGACGCATCTATCGTGGGCTTATCTATCACGGGATTCATATTTGCCATCTATTGTGAGCTGTTCTACTACGGGATCCATTGACTTACACGCCACAACAACATGGTCACATTTCTGCATATCCGAAGCTTTTAAAATGTGGATGGCGTCCGCCTTCAGTGGCTCCCATGCCTGCCCGCCATTTCGTACTGTGCACAGTCGACAAACTTTCACATGTTTCTGCTGTAGGGAAGATGCTTTCCGGGGATCTAAGCGCTCTCACCGTGAGTCGAGCATTACAATATTCGATTCTGATGCATACGTCTTCATTTGCAGAAAAACCCAGATACAAAAGGAGCCTGACATACGCAGCTTACGGTATGCCCGCCTACAAGTTTCTGCTCTATGAGTAGGCTACGATACATCTCTGCCAGGCTAGAATATGCGGCACGGCACAGGGTTCGGCTGCAATAAGCGGCGCTATGTACACGAGTCCTCTCAACTCGGGAGCCCGTTCCATGTTTTGAAGAGAAAGCTTTGAGGCTGCTCCACTGTTTGCCACACACTGACACCTCATTCCCCTTTGAAAATAAGTTTAGTGATTTGTCAAAATCTTTCAACAATTGTTGCAACTTCACTGTTGGAGCTGCCAATTGTCTTCAGAACGCATGAGATGGCTCGACTCGTCATGTGGATAAGGCCCATTCACCGCCCTTGCTCTATCCGAAGCCTTTCTTCGAATGGTGCTCTAGGGCTAAGGGGGGCCTACACGTAGACCTCAGGCTAGGTGTCTAGTTGGAGGAATATGGGGCTTCAAACTGAGCCATGAAAGGGTGCAACAGACGGCAAATCCAGGATGTCGAGGAAGCGTTGCATGACGAGGGAAAGGCATCGCTAGATGCACAGGAGCGCGTGCGGGAGATGATGGCCAACCTCGGCATGGATTCCGAAGCACAAAGGTCAGTTTTCCAGGCTCCTCTGCTCGAGTGACCGTTTAACCCATCCTAGTGGTCAAGTTTCAAGTTGAGAAGAGAGATGTGTGTCAACCAGATCTTAAGGGTTTTTTCAAGTAACATATGGCACCTGTCTGTGAGATTTTATCCGATTTTTGGGATCTTATGTGCACTAGCCTCGAGTCGCTGAAGGCATCACTGCACTGCTTTCAAGAAAAAGTGAGCTATTTCCCCTGCGCAGCAGGGGCGGTCCGTGCAAGCCGATCTTTACTCAGAACGCTTTCCGCCTCTAAAACCACTCTGCGATCCGCTTTGATATTTTCTTTTGTACTAGTCTCAGTTTGCTGGGTAATCCAAATGGCACACTGCGGAAGAAATAATTAAAATAGTTTTTCCTCTTACATGTTTTGAGGAGTTTGTGGGAGAAAGGCTTTTATGGACTGTTTTTTTAAGGCCGAATGTTTTACCTTGCATGAAGTTTCTTTTGTTATTATTAGTAAGTCTCATTTCAATTATTTCGTGTCATTCTTTTTCTGAGCTGGTTGTCATATCTTTGTATATTTTTCGCAAAGGTGAACCAAGGGGGAATCAAACCCACCGTCCGCAAATGACCGGCTTGTTGTGCTATCACTGCACCATTGGTTCTATATATACTCGGATAAATCCATCATCACTGTCCTTATGGGAGCAGCACTCATTTTTCATTACGACCCTTTCGGATCTCAGTCTTTTGAGTCTTCAGTCTTCCTCTTCATCTGACACAATATTCCCTTTAGTACCGCACCAACCGGCGCGGGTTTCGCAGTCGTGTCGTAACCGTATCAGTAGAGGTAGTCATAGTAGCCGAAGCTGTTATTGGTTGAGAACGTAACGATGTGGAGATTGTCCTGACGAATTAAGTCATCCGAAGAGTGAACACAATATTGAGCATCATGGACGAAGGTGCAGTCGTAGCTAGAGTAGCCTAGAGCGCAACATCATTTGCCGAGATTAGTAAGTCTCATTTCAATTATTCCGTGTCATTCTTTTTCTGAGCTGGGTCATCTTTGTTTTTCCAAAGGTGAACCCAGGGGGAATCAAACCCACCGTCCACAAATGACCGGACTGTTGTGCTATCACTGCACCATTGGTTCTATAAATAATTAGATAAAATCCATCATCCCTTTCGGATCTCAGTCTTTCGAGTCTTCAGTCTTCCTCTTCATCTGGCACAATATTCCCTGTAGTAGTTTAGGTGTAAAGTTTACAAAAGAACAAGATCTTCGGCCCCGAAAGCTCTGAATCTTGTACACTGCCCGGTCATCTCTCGGCTGTCATATGCCTGTCATACTGCCTCGATCTGCCCGAAGTCACTACTCTGCTCTTTGGAGAGTGTCACTAAAATTCAACTTTTTTTCTCCAAATTCGGCAGTTTTTTTGGTGTGCAGGGATACACAGTCCCTGTTATTGTGAAATTCATGATTTACATTTCTTCGTTGGTAAAACAGTGCATCACGCTCCTTGGAACGTCCAAGTTTCGCGATTGGCTCGTCGACTCTACCAAAATAACAATAGTTCCGCCCGCACAGCACGGAAGTCAAGCACCGTTGGGCGAGATGAGTACCTTGGTTGGTGACCAGCGAGAAAGGCAAGCGCCGTTGGGCAAGATTAGTACTCTCGCTGGAGATCAGTGGGGACTCCTTCATGAGATTCCCCACCGTCCCCGACCAGAGTACTAATATCGCCCAGCACTGTGCAAGGCTTCTGCGCACTGCGGTTGGAGGTATTTTTACCATGTTTGAGATGACAAGCCAATTGGTGTACTTGCAACAATATCAACCCACTCAGGTTTTGTAGTTGCATATGTTGAGGAATTTGACATTTTGTCGCACGCAACACATTTCCCCCAAAGCATCAGAAACCATCCTTGCAACGAACAAATAGTATGCTACAAAAGCTCCATGTTACCTTTTGGATGAGCAGCAAGCCTTTGGACTCCTTTTGACACTAGTGGTGGCCGAAGAGAAACCATTTTCCTCTGATAAGTGCTTCCCTAATTCGTTTAACCCACCCGGTCGCAACCTGGGAGAAGGGAAAGGGGAGGGGATACCCAAGGGTCTTTAGCCAGACAATCCCTAGTCCTAGCCAGATTGCCTTGACCTGCCTACTGACAAATCTGATGCGGGAGTTTGGGGCGCTTTTGACAAGCTAGGCTTTTGGGTGGCTTGTGATGGGCGGGAGTTTAGGATGCTTTTGATAAGCTAAGCTTTTGGTTGGCTTGTGATGGTCTGGGTATTGGCGCTTTTGACAAGCTAGGCTTTTGGGTGGCTTGTGATGGGCGGGGTTTTGGGGTGCTTTTGACAAGCTAGGCTTTTGGGTGGCTTGTGATCTTTTAGGTGCTTTTTGACAAGCTAGGCTTTTGGGTGGCTTGTGATGGGCGGGGTTTTGGGGTGCTTTTGACAAGCTAGGCTTTTGGGTGGCTTGTGATGGGCGGGGTTTTAGGTGCTTTTGACAAGCTAGGCTTTTGGGTGGCTTGTGATGGGCGAGTTTTGGGGTGCTTTTGACAAGCTAGGCTTTTGGGTGGCTTGTGATGGGCGGATTTTGAGTGCTTTTGACAAGCTAGGCTTTTGGGTGGCTTGTGATGGGCGGGGTTTTGGGGTGCTTTTGACAAGCTAGGCTTTTGGGTGGCTTGTGATGGGCGGGGTTTTGGGGTGCTTTTGACGAGATGGGGTTTTGGGACATTCTGTTGAGCCGGGATTCAGGCGAGCTTTGGACGAAGGGGCCTCTTTGGAAGCTTTGAATTTTGCCTACGTTCATCGTGATGGGAAGGTGGTTGCGTGTGGCTGAGGTGCAACAGCAAGCTGCTCAAGGGACTCGTCAGCCAAGGCATGACAACTGAAGAGCTCAAGGCAGCCCAAGCGCAATGTCAGAAGCTTGAGGCGGATCTCATCACGCAGACGGAGCTGAAGGTCATACCGCCAGCTCTCCTCACAGGGCTTTGGAGAGTCCTGGTCGAGGAGGCCCATTGTGCTCATGGCTTCCTGCGTTTGCAATGATGCAGGAGAGCTACAACCAGCAGCAATGGGAGCTGCGGTTTGTCGTACAGCAGATGAAGGAAGAAAAGGAGGAGACTGCATCCAAAATGAAGGTGCTTCCGAGCCTCTGCCACTTCCCTTCGATGACGGTAGTCGTTCAGCCAGCGTTGGTGGATTTGACACCTACTAGGTGCTAACAGAAGTGTGATTGTATCGCCCCAACAGTGCCCGGGGATGGGATTGCAACGCTGACTGGGGCTTTGTTGTGTTGCGCGGCAGGCAGAAGCAGAAAGGGTGCGCCAGGAGTTGATGGCAAAACAGGCGGTCGCAGCCAAGGCCGCCAGTGCTGCTGAGGAGCTTCTGTTGCAGGAAAAGCAGAAGTCAGCGGCTTTGGAGCAGAAGCTATTTGAGGTCTCTTTGATAGCCACATGTTTATTAAAGATGCTCTATGTGGGTTTTTGTGCTGGCGCTATGACACTCCGACTGGCTGTGATGTGGTATGACTATTGTGTGGGCGCTATGACACAACCTGCTAGGATGTCCATGACGCGGCGACCTGCTGGGATGCATATGGCATGGCGACTCGCTTGGACTAATGATGTTCTAATGATCAAGAAAAGTGCATTGCGCCTTATGAATTTTATGAGTGACCACGTAACATACACCACGTATATTATGAGCTATCCCAGGCCTGCTGAGCAAGTTACACAGGTGGATGGGACAGGCACAGCACTGCTTAGCAAGTGGACTCGAGTTCTAAAATTGTTGAGTGGGGCCGAATGTGGGCGTGCTGGGGATGGGTACAGGTGCAACAAAATGCTACCGCAACCGAACAGACCCTGCGTGGTTTGGTTGAGAAAGAGTCCCAGGCAACGGCCGCTGTGTGGAGAAAGTTGAAACAGGTGCTTAACAGTCAGTCATCTCAGGAATAAAAATGAGCCTCAATCTGAACCTCCGGAAGGTGTCTTGAGGCTAGGGGGGCTTGACGACGCCGAGGTTTAACCGGACAACCAATGGACAAATCTCAGACGGGGCGACCCTCAGCTCTTCAAACTTAGCAATTTGCGACCCTAGTGCAAACCTAATGCTAGAGTATATCTTGGTATATTTATAATGGAGATCTTAGAAAGTATGTCAGTGGTGAACATGGTTTGTGAGCAAAAGAGATCGTGACTGATGGCTGCCTCAACCTTGCGGCAATTGAGTCATCCATCATTTTACCAAATCTGTGGGATTAGGCAATCTTCTGCGCATGACACACCGTTTTAGCTGGGAAGCAGCTTGGATGCAGCCATTAACCGTAATCTAAGTCAAGTAGAACGCAACAGTCAGCCTCGGCCAGATCAATGTTTACTGCACATACATTGTGCGCGCATCACACGCAGTCCCATGCCCACTGCGGAAAACCGTGATTGGCTTGCAGGCCTCGAGCGAGCTGGCAGCCAATGAGTGCCGGCGCCAGGAGCTGGACGCAATGCTGGCAGCAAAGCGCGCCAAGCTGGCAACACAGGAGGAAAAGCTGCAAGCATTTAGTGAGCTCCAAGCAGGACAAGAGGAGAAGCTCCAGGCGTACAACAGACTGCAGGGAGTTCATGCAAACGTGGTAGACGAGCGGCTTCAGGCACAACAGCTTGCTGCAAAGGCTGACGCCGCCAACGCTGCCCTTTGGGAGAAGCTGAAGGAGGTGCGTCCCAGCCGACTTCAATCACCTTGTCACCACTTGCCAGCTAATCCATCCACCCAGCATACACCTTCACCCACAATCAGCATCTATACCCATGCATCCACCAGACACAAACCTGCACCCACCATTGGCACCATCTTATCTATGCACTCCGCGTAGGCCTCCACCCTAAAATAACACCTGCTTACCCATCCATACAACACATGCCTCCACTGTAATCAGCGCGTGCCCATCTATCCATCCAACACAAACCTGCACCCACCATTGGCACCATCTTATCTATGCACCCAGCGTGGGCCTCCACCCTAAAATAACAGCTGCTTACCCATCCATACAACACATGCCTCCACTGTAATCAGCGCGTGCCCATCTATCCACCCAACACAAACCTGCACCCACCATTGGCACCATCTTATCTTTTCACCCAGCGTGGGCCTCCACCCTAAAATAACAGCTGCTTACCCATCCATCTACGCGGTGCACACCTCCACCCATGATCAGCCCCTTCGGATCCCTGCAGCACACTCTTAACCCGCAATCAGCACCTGCTCATCCATTCAAGCTTCCAGCGTACGCCTCCAGCCCTAATCACTGCATGCTCGGCTATTTAAACGTCCAGCACACCCCTCAACCCACAATCAGTGCCTGCTTAATCATCTATCTCCCACATGCCTCCACCCTTTAGTAGCGCATGCTCCCCATTTATACTTCCAGCGCACACCTCTACCGGCATTCAACGCCTGCTTATTCTTCAATGTAGCACACATCTCCGCCCACAAGCAGCATTCACCCATCCTTCCACCTGGCGTACACCTGCAACCACATCTGGCGCTATCCTATCCGTTCACTCAGTGCGCACACCATCATCCACAATCAGTGCCTGCCCATCCAACCAACCGGCGTAGGCCTCCATCCACAGTCAGCGCCTGCTCACCCATCCACCCGCCATAATCAGCGCCTGCTTATCCATGCACCTGATATACCTTTCTACCCACAATGGATTTCTATCATGCTCTCCTTTCTTCCACCCATGAGCTAAAATTAGGTGCCAGGGAATTAAAAAACGCCCTGGCACCCTGCAGGCATCACCCTTACCATAGGGGGCTCGGAGGTGTCCCTAGAGTGGAAATTAGAGGGGCAGAGCTTGACCTCCTGCTCAGGCTTCGTCACGCAAGTGTTTGGGAACGGAGAATGCTGAAAGTCGAGGCTAATCAATTTCTTGGCATATGGGCACCTCGGCAGGCCGCTAGCGAAAAAGCAGAAGTGTCATCGGCTGCAAGCGACTTGCAGGCGCAGTTGGATGCCAGACACTCTCAGCTAGCCCAATTGGAGGACAAACTGCAGACGACTGAAGACCTGCAGGCAGCCACCGAGGGGGAGCGCGATGTTGCCCAGGGTCTGGTTGCGAAAGGGGATCTCGCGAGCGCCCAGCTCT